TGAAAACAGCAACATCACCTCACCACCACCATTATCAACAATAACACCACAAAAATCAGCAAAAACAATAACAACAATGGCACCTCATGCACCATTAACAGCAACAATAACAGCACCACCATCAACAACAGCATCGCCAACATCATCAACAACAACAACTGCATTTACACTAGCAACAACAACGGCTACAGCACCGCCAACAACATCACCAATTGGTGATTATTTTACCTGGTTTAGGTGCGCAGGGGCAAATAAGATTCTCAMGTATTTCGCYACACGCAAATAGCTTTTCTCCAATCAACTCGAACCGCATGCAGRCTATCCCTGACTCGTTTGAATAGTGAGGTAAAGCCAATTCCCTTAAAATCAGATAAAACATCGTGCGTAAGTTTCAGAATCAAGGAAATTCATTTTGCGTGGGTTTTCATCRGAAGTGTGACCAGATAGACTTTACTGCATTAGTTATCAGTGTTTGGGGAGAAAGAGGAGTACCTCTTTGATAACTGATGCCATGGAGGCTTATTGAAACACGCCCGAAAAGTCAGTCACTTTTAACGATCCATACTTAACSTTTATATTACATAGTCCATCTACCTCCGAGTCCATCTTATGAGTGRGAAACACGAAATAAACAAAAAACAATACAATATTTGCACACTTCTAATACTTCAATAATCTTATAATTAAATCTAAATGAAATCTAAATATATGGATTATAATATTAAATATAAACGTTTTTTTCGTGTGATGCGGATAAGTGAACTGGGAAGTTTTATAATTGAACTTTAGAAATTAAGTTAAAGCTTCATGGAATGAATGGACAACAAAGAATCAAAATATATGGAATTATAAGTAATTTGATAGGATTCCCAAATTCMATTTTATCTATTAAAGATTACAGTTATACTTGAATGAACATTCTTTGTTAAATCAATTGGCTTGTTAATGTTGCAGATTTAAYAGAAATTTAACAGAATCGAAATAAAATAAAATAAAAATACAGTCCGATCACTTACTCTGCRCGTTCATCCTTGGTGGAAGTACAGGTGATTCCTAGCGCTTCAAAAACACCTTTAGCATCAGTGGGAGGAAAATCATGACCATATTTAGCACAGATCCTTCCTTCTTGATTGCATTTGTCATGACAGTTTGTGCCTTTTGGACCGATGAAGTACGCAACACCTGAAGACAGACCACACATATAGGTTTGCAAGGACAATGCTATACAATCGWATCACTCAGCTATTCACCTGTGCAAGAGACGTTTTGCTGGCATGTAGTAGCTTCACTTGAAGTCGTAGGCACATCCATCTTTCCTACGAGATTCAGGGTATCATTGGAGCAAAGACGCTGACGAACTTTTGTACCGTTACCACAGCTACACGACGACCAGGCGCCCCATTCTCCAAGAAGGGATCTGCTCTTATTGCTGCTGGATTCTTTRAAACAAGGGCTACATTATAATACTAATAAATTATTTTATGATTGAGTCGTCAGTAAGCAGCCAATCTGGTTTTGCAATGGTCGTTTAGCTTAATGACGTCAAGTGTGTTATGCCGAACTGAGTGTATCATGGTGTTGATGAAGGTAAATGCCGGATCTCTTATACCTAGGAGGATGAAGCTTCTTTGCGAAATTTACGCTATTCGAAGTCTAGAATTATTTGGAAGAAAATTCCATGAGATGTCTTCACAATAGAGTATCTCGAGGCCATGTCYGTGAAAAATCGAATTCTTTTTGGTCAAAAACAATGTTGTACTTTCATCAATCCCATGATGCATTTTTTACTATGTGCATGTGCCTTGAAGCACCGCAAGGTCCGCTCTAGTGAACTGCTGAAGYCATGGGAAGGTCATGTTGCCAAAATTAATCGATCAAGTAGCTCTTGAAAAATCAGTGATTTGAACTAAATCCATCTTCCGCCATCAGGATTTTGGCTAGTSTGAGCGTCTTTCTAGAAAAGTGTGCTGGAAAAATACATAGAACCATTTAAAAAAAAGATGTCAGAGCAGAACGGGCATTCAGTTTTTGATGGAAAATATTTGCTTTTCTGCTGAAAAGCACTTACAAATCAAACAAGCCATTATCGAACAATCTTTAATTGATGAAAACGACAGTGTCGAGGCCTCATGATAGAATAATGTGCTCTCTATAATTCAAGCCCACAGTGACTTTCGGTCCGGTGCTTTAGTCTCTCCGGCAACGTCAAAGTCACATTAAATTAAAATGTATTTTTGTTCCAATTTTTTGCCCTATTAATCTTCTCAAACCGTTGAAGCGAGCAGGAGATACTGAATATTATAATCAAACACTGATATGAATATAATTTTTTTTGTATTTGTTTTTGATTTTTGATTTTTTTATTTGTCTGCAGTAGTATTTTTGTTGTTTTTGCTGGGATTCGAAACCTAAGCTTCCTAAAACACACTATATAAAACAGTGTCAAAATCRAACATGAACATTATGTTCATTATGTTCATAAACTATTGAAACATCATTACTGAAGTTTTCTGATATTTMAAGAATGAAAAAATACGGTTAAAAACGATATTTTGACTACATTGCTGCCACAGGGAGCCCAACTCCCGYACTTCCTCAGAACCTGGTAAGGCTGTAGTTTTTAATAGAAGTTCAAAAACTCATACATAATTAATGAGTTATTAGGCCAATAGAATGAGCCTATTTGGTCACATGCATGGACGTTTATATCTGATAAAACACTCCTTATTAGTATTCTTTATATAAAGAATACTAATAAGGGTGACCTTTATCAGATATAAAGGTCCATGAYCCTAGCAAAGGTCTCAGGTTGGGAAACCTGATCATTGACCAATGCAGGATGTCAACCGATTGCAGTGAACAGCCAAGAGCGGTTCTATTTTACTTTATGCGTATTCAATGTGGGTTGACAAGAGTAAAGTGAAACGCGCATGATCAGTTTGTCCTATTTATCTCAGAACATATTTGTACGTCAATTTYTCCAAGAATTTTAACGAATTTGAGTTTCMAATTAGTGTTGGAGTTTTTAAAGCCGTTTAAAACACTCGAGATCGTGTTTCGCCTTCGGCTCGAATCTTTATACCTGATAAAACACTCTCTCTCGTGTTTTAAACTATACATTAATAGAAGATCATTTAAGAGTCATTTAAATGAGAGAGTTAATTGTCAAACAAAACTAAAGAACGGTCATCGATCTGTAGTTCTAAAGGCATTATGGAATCATGYAATGGATGGRCTGCCTGTGACCATACCTGAGAATTTGATGAGTTGATTGATCGTCGTCTTCCAGAGTGAAGTGTTTCCCAGTGAATCAATATATCGGAATTTGATGCTTTGAAACTCTAACGASGCATCGCGAAGTAATGTCAACAAGTAAAGACGGCCAGCAACCAAGTACACATTGTTCAATGTCGTTGTGCGCCTCATCGGAGAAAAAAACAGATTATAATTATCATGAATCTTTGAAGTCTTACAATAGAAGTCMAGAAATTGCATTAAATGCATTATACCAACAGTCCTAATCACACTCACAATCATATAATCACTCCAAAATCACACAAATACTTTAGGGTTACACCTAAAACAAACAGAGAGCTGCTGTCTGCTACTTAATTGATCCAAAGTCAGCCTCCTCCTGGTAGAGATGTGCAAGACGAGAAGAAAGGYTCTTGGCACGAGTCCACTCAGAATGTTATCGTATGCCTTTGATACCCCGGCCCGAAAAGAAACAAAACAAGCCATCGAGGATGGCAGAATAAAAGCCCTGCACAAAACCTCGATAGGCTTTGAGGAGAAACGAAACATTCAAGATCAATTAACAGAGAAAACAAGGAATATAGCAATTTTGTTCATTTTAAAAAAGAGGAACCTAWTGCTGCACASTCAAGGTATATRTTCTTACAGATTTTGTTTGGTGTCAATGTTACTGATGTTGCTCTCTTTCTCCCCATCAATATCTGATTGGTAAAAGAATCTCAATTGGTCGTTGCCAATGGGTTCGCTTTGGAAAGTTTCTGTGATATTGAATATGTATTGACCAGTNTCCCTGTCATCATCTCTATTACAATCCCTGTCATCATCTCTATTACAATCCCTGTCATCATCTCTATTACAATCCCTGTCATCATCTCTATTACAATCCCTGTCATCATCTCTATTACAATCCCTGTCATCATCTCTATTACAATCCCTGTCATCATCTCTATTACAATCCCTGTCATCATCTCTATTACAATCCCTGTCATCATCTCTATTACAATCCCTGTCATCATCTCTATTACAATCCCTGTCATCATCTCTATTACAATCCCTGTCATCATCTCTATTACAATCCCTGTCATCATCTCTATTACAATCCCTGTCATCATCTCTATTACAATCCCTGTCATCATCTCTATTACAATCCCTGTCATCATCTCTATTACAATCCCTGTCATCATCTCCGTTCCCTCCGTCGCTCTTGCCCATCTACCCTAACCCTAACCCATCTCAAACCCAATTTCTATCTGAATTAAAAATGATTAACTCACTCTCTGGGATGCATTGAAGGATGGTCTCGTTTACAACCAAATCTTGTGTTACAGCAAACATTGTTTCAGGAAAACTTGCCAAAGTTATAAGGAACAGCACGGACTGCAAAAAAAAAGAATGAATGTGTTACAGAATTGTGTTACAGTGTCTCCTTACTTGTGATGTATCACGTGATGTGTCGTGTTATTTCGTTCATCAGTTCAGTAATCTCGTAGTGTGCAGCAGCTGGTTTCCTTTGGCCCATCATTTCATTATTAGTTTCTGTCTAATCATTGTTTCCCCATGACCAAAAATCTTGCGTTAAAAAGTAATTGTTTTAAGTGTGAGATGAAGAGTGATTGATTCTCTGCGAGTTATGTCAGTAATGGCCAAGTTCGGGCAAATRTAATTCAAGAGTTTACAGACGGGTGTTTTTTATCTCTTTTTTTAATTTTTAATTTTCTCTTTTTTTAACTTTTTTCCCCTTTTTCCCAATAATGTGCGCATTTTCACTTTGGGAAATAATACAATGATATAAAAAAAAACACAGACTGGAAAAATATTGTGCTGACGATGCTATCGATTTCTTCTTTTTCTAACCCTGACCTCTAAGTAGATTAATTTTACTTTATTGTATGTGGAAGTTTATTTACTCAGCTTCATTAAAAATTTAACATTCATATCATGTATAACTCTGACTAAAGAACAACAAAGTGAATACGTTTCGTTAGTATAAATAGTTTTTTTCTTAATATTTCCGAATAACCAAAAGAAGTAGTAGTTTAATTTTGAGAGAAACAAGAGTGAAATACATAAGAAAAAGTGCAAATTWGAATGAAGTAATAAAGAACAAAAGTTGAAGGAAAAGATAATTTAATATATGCTAATGCATTACGTAAGAACACTATCTGTTTGCTGATGTTGTTGTTATTGTTATTTTTTAGTTGACAAATACTATTTGTATGTTTTTATCTGACGTGTGACAGCTTGTTTTTTTCTATGAATAATATCCCGATTAAATATAGACAGTTAAAACGATGTAATATCGGAGAAACAAATRGAGAAGAAAAATTTAAAGAAAACGAGGAAGCAAAAATAAGGTGTAAAATAGTTGATACGGAGATGAAGAAAATGGAGAAAGAGGAAAAGCTAAATAACAAACAAATAGGACTACAAATATGAAAAAATGAATTGAACACTGGTAAAAAAATTAAGCAAAGAAAGTACTTTAATATGTCAATTCCTAAACTAGAGAGGGTTGTATATATGTCCAAATATGTATTCAAAAGTAAAATCAACATCTAAACAACATATCAAAATATCGATCAATTTGAACATTACCTTTAAGCCCAACATATCCGTTGTTTCCGGGTTTCTTGCCTCAAATAGCACAAACCTTCGTGTTCTACATGCACCCTAACAATGTCATTAGCTTTACACTCAAAATATGTGACGCTTTTATTGAGAAATATTCTAATAAAAGCTACAGATCTCGAAATTAATTGAAAACTGCTAATTTGCTGTCTCACAGTGACTTTAATAAATCTCTTTTGTTTACAGCAAAGCAAAAAAAAAACTGTAAGCTCTTTGTTTTGTTCTCTGCTTCATTATTCGTGAAATGCATAATTCATTTGATTTTTTCTCCAGGCGTCCAATTTTCCTTGTCCCTTAGTAACAACTTATAAAGAACTGCTGAGTCAAAATCTTTCAATGTAGAGGACATGTGCAGMGTTCATAGGCTTATTTTTAAAAAAATTGAACATGTATCATGCGCTCAGTTTCATAAAAGCGAAAGTTTCATTAAAGCCATTCGCCTCCTTTATCAGTTCTTTCAATGAATAAGAAACAAAAAACAAATTTTTCTTGTATTACACTCTGACTGATAACGACWCGCAAAGTATGAAGAAAACACGAGGAATCGTTGGGTGGAACATGTGAAAATTTTCTGAAAGATCTTTTAATAGTACAAATCGTTTTTTTTATGCGTTGTATGAAGAAGACAAACCAAATTTTTTAACGGTAACTTTTTCAGCCTTTACATGTAAAAACCGTAAGTCAAGATYGATGAAAAGCTTGGCTGTAGAAACAACATCAAGTCTTTTCGCGAGCATCAAGACAATTTAGCATATACTTCAAAACATATTAAAAGTTAATGGATTTTGATCAGAATGACCAACACGTGTCAGTAAACAAGAAACGTCGTTTGCTGTTCATCTTGCGTGAACCATGTGCGACAACCATGATATCCTGCAGCTATGACAAATAATTAATTTTACCAAATTCTCCAACATGCTTCATTATGTTCTAGAAGTTTTCTTAAATTTCTTGATCATCAAAGAGTTGGTAWGCTTCATGGTACATGTGAACTTGACTGAAAGAGATTGTTTAAGTGTATATTAATARCAGTATGAATAGTAATCTAGACCGAACTGGGTAAAGCCCTGGSAGTAATTTTATATATATTATACTGGTGTAGACCGCTGACCACTTGACACATGATCATGTCCATAGACTATAGGTATGACCTMATGCCTTAGACGTTCATCTGAGGTCATAAGACATAGCATWGACCAATAAGAATAGTACACATTTCAACTACTACTAGTATAACCATTCGGTGCTATCGGGCAACAAATTTTTCCCGCCCACCAGCCACTAGCTCCAACTCGGTAGTATATGATCAATGTATATCTGATTTGTTAGTTGTGATATGTATGTTTTTAATAGGATAATGACATATAGCTGTATATGTATGTACAATTTCATGTACTGTTTCAATTTTCTGTTAAATATATAGTTAGTATTATTTCATATATTTACTCTTACATTTGTAATAATATTATTGTTGAATTAATAATAAATACTGCCGGAGCCCAACCCAGTCTATCTTGTTTTGCCCGAGGTTTAGAAACAAGTTCACAAGTTCACATGTACCATTAAGCTTCATTATGTGCTCAGTGAATGCATGGTCTTCATACAGAGATGGGTGGGCGGAGATCATACCAGTTATGATGCCACAATCGAAATATTTGGGCCAATGGAATATTTGTGATATCATAGTACCTAACTATTGAACGAAAAGAGAGCTAAGCTTCGGCAACACTTTTTCTGTAACAARAATATAATTATTTTTCATGGATGCACTCATGATCTGAAATCTGCACCAGYTCGCGACATCATGCAATGACTCTTAATGGTGGTCCATAGCAACCTAAAGTGTGATCAGCTCTTTTTTCCTGTCTTTTTACGCAATGCTTGTCATCATGAATGTCATAAATAGTTGGTAACTTCTGTATTTTTAAACTGTTCGTTTGGTCAGTAAATGAAAGAGATCTCTTGATAAGAATAATTTTCTTCATTAGACTTCAAATTACATTAGACCGTTTCAAGCTATTATACTGCACTCGTGGATCCTACTCAATTTTGAAGATCCGTTTCAGTGTAAAAACCAAAAGTGCTAAACCGTGCACAATTAAATTCGTAATTCAAACTAACTCMAAATTTGTACTGTTCTCCCCCCCCCTCCCCCTTGATAGTTATCTGCAATATCAACCGCCGTGTGCTCTCAATGCAGAGACAAAGGGAAATGCAACAACGAGTATGTTCATAGAAAAACAGTGCAATATCTCTTTATTTGTACTCCCCGTGTGTTATTAAATGTTAAAAGTATGCATATAGGACCGACTATATCAGGTGAGCAATCGCATCATCTAATAAAATCCTATTATAAAGTTTCCACATCAAGTGAACGGAGTCACAACCGCCAGGTGAAAACTAGAGATAGTTTGAATAGGAATCAGAAGCAGAGTTAGAATCGTAGTAAAAAAAATAGAAAGAAAATGGGATCGTCATCGCACTTGTGACTCGAACGGCTTAAGTGTTCCTTTTTTTTTCGCAGGGAGCTTTGTTTCACGTCCTCGTCCAACTGCAGTGAAATGTAWACACTCTCACAACTCTGATTCTGATGTACACTCGCTTAACCTTCTGTGATACTGGATTGGCATGACCTCTGTCTTCTCGGGCTCAGGGCTACTTGCCTGTGAATAACAGGAAATATGTTATGAATCTTGAATGGTACTGTTGATGCTGCAGGCAGGCACGCGGGCAGGCAAACCCGGGGGGTACTCCCTCACCAATTTTTGTAATTTTCATACCCTACTCCGGACTAAAGGTAAAAAGKTCATTATTTTAGTTTAGCGCTGAAGCGAGGCCTAGCAGATACGATCACAAGCAAAACTCCACCCTATCCCAGAAAACAAGACTACACCCTATACTAGACAAATAAGGCAGGCAAATAACATCAGATCGACAAGTTTCAGCCTACTGTACTCGTGAATACCACTCAATTTTGAAGATAAATTTGTAAAAACCAAAAGTGCTAAACAACAGGCAGGCATGCAGGTAGGTAGGTGGTTGGTTAGTAATCCAACAGACTTCAGGTTTGTATCTATCAGCTTACCTTGCGTTCAACCGTTTGTAAACTCTCAATAAGTTTTTTTCGTAAATTTGCATTCATTAAACAAAATTTGGAATGGAACTCGTGGAGTTCGGATTGAATCATCTCAAGATACTCTCTGTATTTCTCTCTCAAGATTTCATTTGCTTGCTCTGTAGTTAAAGATGTAGGAAAGAACTACATGAATTGATTGCTTCCCAAAATATTAAAAATCACATACTAACAATTCTTTGGCTTAAGACACCTGAAATGTTCCTATTGAAAAGAATCACTTTGCTGCATTACGGTGTTCTGATAGGGTTGATAAAATCATACAACATAATTGCGAGCTCTCAAAGATCCATGAATATTATACTGTCACATTAAATGTAGACATTCTACATGTAATTGTGGGCCAATTCGGAAACATTTTTTCTCGTTTAAAACATGTGATGTATAACAAACTTGCATCGCACACAATCTATTTTCAGCTAGCTAGTTGGTACTGCAAGCGTGAATTCACAGTCACATAACGAATATGAGACGTTATTTCACCGTATCGTAAGTATTCATTCTAATCTTTGACAATTTTGATAGTCATGTTGACTGTCGTATATTAACTGAGACGATTTCCCATACTCACCTCGCTTACGRTAAATCGTGACATGATAGTAAATCCCAGCYAAAAATATCGCCAACAAAGCCAGTCCCATTGCCAACATAGTATCAGTGAAGATTGTACTGTCTGGACTCAAGAAATTGAGTGATTCTTTTGTGATTACAATCCTTTCAGCTGTTTCCTATGCAATAATACATAGCAGACTTCAAAAACTGGACACAACGTACATTGTTCACTTTCACTAGTGAAGTTAGTGGAGAAGGAGGGCTGGGCTGCGTTGACGAAAGCAGAACGGAATGCTAACCTACCCGACCTTAATTTAACCACAATCACACCCTATCTTAGATCCGGCTACGAWCCCTCTCAATCAATTTGCGACTGTTTACTGTGAAACATTTGCGCACTCTTTCAGAGGCTTAGTAATAATTATTGATACCATGCCCCCTCCCCTAATCAACGATGTTAAAGTCTGAGAGCCCAAAAATTGAAGCTAAACAGATCATTTCCTTTGATTTGGACGTTAATTCCCCCCCCCGTCCTTTTGAGGTTATACAGTTAAAACAATATAAAATAACTATCTATGATTCCCCGATCACGATCACTTGTACACTGTTACAGTAAATGTTTTTACTATTKTAAGACGATAAGTGTTTAGTCTACTCCGATCAGACGTAGCGCTCAAAAATACTTTTTATAAAATAACCTCGACAATTCCCTTGTAGAATATCGTTTAACAAACCAAACATTACAAATCAAACATACCTCTTCCTCTTGAGTCTGRTTCTTGTCAGCAATGTAAATCGTATCCAGTATGCCAGCTAGTTGCATTATCTGTGAAATGTTAGCTGAAATATACTCTCGAAAATGTCTTTCAAGCTTTTCAGCATTTCCATTGAGAAGAACTCCGTACGAGAATGAAGAACCGACGGTATCGCTGTATTTAAACCAAGTACCATTAAAAAGATTTTTCTTCCATTTGACGGTGTAGTGGTCAAGGACAATAGAGTCAATCTCTTGTTCCTTCAACGCATAAACCAACTCTTCGACATTTGGGAAAGACAGTACTGTAGGAAAACAAACCATTCAAGTATAATTAATGCACCTGGCACTAATTGCGTCAGTAAATCAAGCCTACCAT